CGCAGCTGCAGTGCTGTTCAGAATGTCCGAGGACAAACCGCAAGACTATAAGAAGAGACTTTCAGTTGAATTGACAAGCTCTCTGTTCAGGACCGAGCCAATGGCGTGGAATGAGGTGAGTTTTCTGTATTAATAGCTCCTTAGGGAGACTTTACTTCCAAGTCCTCCTTCCTTCCAGTAGTGATGTGTAGATGCCATCAGTGATACAGGCCCAGCTTTACATTTGGTTGCATCATCGTTACTCTTGTGTGCTTAGATTCAGTGAGCCTGTGGCAAGCAGCCTTCGAGCTGCTTCTTCCCTTGCAGACAGGAGGATTCCATTCTTTACTGCTGCTAAAGTGTGTAATTCTCATTATGTTTGTTAGTGTGCCAGGCTGTACACAAGAACTTTGTGCAGTTCTGTGCTGTTTACCGGAACCTAGTTGAACTCTGAATGCAAATATGGAGGCATGAGTAATATGAGGGAAGCATAAAGATAAAACATCCTGTGAAAGCTGTGTCAAGGAAACAAGTGTTGGAGTAGTAATCTTGGTGTGGGGATGCAATTTGTGTCTTCTCTTAGAATTGAGCTTTCAGAATTGAGTATGTTTACAGGCTCATTATCACACATTGTTTTTCTTCGGTTTTAAAGGCTGAACAGTGAATTGAGACTGAAAACAAACACTGTGGATGAGGTAGAGGGAAGGTTTGGTTAAGTCTCTGTCTTATGCCCAGATTGTTAAGATTCAGGAGCCTAGCGTGTCTTAGCTTGTCTGTATTTACTAAATTAAGGACAGGAGCCCTTGGTCTGTACTGTTTCAGTGCTTATTTTTCTGTATTTACCACAGCAATGTGAAAAGGGAAAAAAAAAAAAAGCTAAAATGGATTATCTCTTGGAGTTACACAGCTGTGCTGCAGACAGTCACTTCTGTAACTGGGCAAACTGGGAGAGGTTCCTTCAGCACTCTTAAAAGCTCTCTTGCTGGCTGGGGAATCTCTGAACAGCTGACTTGCAGGAGCTTACAGGTGCACCTGAGGAGCTGTGTTTCTAGACCTGCCCCATCTTTATTCCCAAACAGAACCCTCCTTCCAGTGGTCAGGGGATTTCTGTACCTAAATCTGGCTGTTGAACTAGATGCAGATGCTTAGATAAGAAGGCATACCATGTTCACAAAAGTACCCTACTGCAGTGTTTGCTGCAGAATAGCTGCTAAGGAGGGATCTGAGGCAAGCTTCAGAACTTCTTAAACTCAGAATCACTAGTTCTGGTGCAAAGACCACACATTAAAACTCTTCTATAACTTTCTGTGTGCATCTAGACAGCAGATCTTGGACTAGATATTGGTGCCCAGGGAGAACCTCTTGGATACCGCCCAGATGGTATGTCTCTTCTGTTCCTCTTGAATGAACTTATGAATTGACTTTATCCAACTTAAGTTTTAAAGGAGAACTGCAAATGGGTGAAGAGTGAATTACTCTTCAGTAAGGTATTGCAAAGTGACAGGCTGATGGGGAACTGCCAGTTCAAATAACCAGTTCCTGCAGCACCACTGGCAGCACTGAAATGGGAGCCATGTGAACGTGCAAAACTAGTGTCTCTTGCCTGAATCCTGTGGGAGCATCTCCTGCTGAGCTGTGTTGTTTCCAGAAATCTTTTATAGTCTTTACAAATGGGCTTGACAATACCAATAGTGCAGTTTTTCTTTAAAACAAAAAAGCTGGTATTGAATGTATTAGTCTGTGTCTATAGACTTAAATGCAAGCCTATCCCTAAGGATTCTAAGCTATTTTTTGACTAGCCTTTCAGAAGCAAGTCTACAGTCTTGGAGCCTGGTTTTGCTGCAGTATTGTTGAACTGTAGTATTGTTGATTGTGCAGACTAATGGCTTGGCTGGAAACCTGCTCGTGCTTCTGACTGCAGTGTGCTTTGTCTGCAGGATCTTACTGGAAGGCTGTTTCGAACAATGGAATAGCCATTAAGGGCAGGCAACAGAGTGTGTTGAACTTGGCTGAACTAGAAAAAGAATTAGATGGCTACAAAAATCTTCTCACACACTGATACTTGCAGCTTCTGATGCATCTAACATCTGTTAACATTATGCTTTTTTTCCCTCTGCCACCTTTAACTTTCTTAGATCCTAGCTACCGTTCTTTCCACTCGGGCGGATACGGTCAGGATGCCTTGGGTATGGACCCTATGATGGAACATGAAATGGGTGGCCACCACCCTGGTGCTGACTACCCAGTTGATGGTCTGCCAGATCTTGGCCATGCCCAGGACCTTATGGATGGGCTGCCTCCAGGTGACAGTAATCAGTTGGCCTGGTTCGATACTGACCTGTAAATCATCCTTTAGGTAAGAAGCTCCAACCTTGACTTTCAAAAACAAAACAGAAAGAGACAAACCCATGGCTGGACTGAGGCCTTGGTTGGCAGGGAGGGATTGGCTCAATTGGGTCCCACTGTAGTGAATAAAGGCTCTGGAAACACGCAACCAGAACACTCCAGACTGACTTCTGCTGTCAAGTGTGGAAGTAATTAACTGTTAATGTCTTGTGCACTGGCTTCATGCAGTCTTACTGTGTTAAAGCAGTTCTTTACTCAGGAACACTGACCCCTGTGTTTTTTCTCTTCGCAGCTGTATCATCTGAATGAACTTGCATTGATTGGCCTGTAGAGTTGCTGAGAGGGCTCGAGGGGTGGGCTAGTATCTCAGAAAGTGCCTGACACACTAACCAAGCTGAGTTTCCTATGGGAACAGTTGAAGTAAACTTTTTGTTCTGGTCCTTTTTGGTCGAGGAGTAATAATACAAATGGATTTTGGGAGTGATTCAAGAACCGAAGAATGCACAAGAATGAATTGCAAGATGGAATTTATCAAACCCTAGCCTTGCTTGTTAAAAATCTATTATTTTTTTTAAACCTCTGTAATGGTACTGACCTTGCTTGCTTTGGAAGTAGCCTTTCTTTTTGCAGTAATTGTTGTTAGGTTTTTTTAAAGCCTCTCGTAGTATTAAGTTATAGTGAATATGCTACAGCAGTTTCTAATTTTTAAGGATTGAGTAAAGGTGTAGAACACTAATTCATAATCGCTCTTAACTGTATTCTGAATAAAGTGTAACATTGTGTAGCCTTTTTGTATAAAAACAAACTAGACAAATAGAAATGGTCCAATTAGTTTCCTTTTTAATATGCTTAAAATAAGCAGGTGGATCTATTTCATGTTTTTGATCAAAAACTTTATCTGGGATATGTCTGGGTAGGGGCCAGTAAGAACTGTTTATTTGGAACCTTGTATTGGACAGTTTACCAGTTGCCTTTTATCCCAAAGTTATTGTAGCCTGCTGTGATACAGATGCTTCATGAGGAAAATGCAGTTATAAAATGGTTCAAAATTAAAGTAAACTTTTAATTCACTCTGTGTCAGATTATTTCAGATCAGAGAGTGTATTTGTGTGGTCACAGGTTTCCTGACACCCATCCTGGACCTGCACAACACCTTCAGTACTTCAGAGGAGGATGCCAGAACTGTTTATCCCACTAAAGAGCAGTTACCAGTTAGAGCCCCATGTCCTGCTGAGACAGTGTTCATCCCTGTGAGCACCTGCCACAGCTGGCAGGTTCCCTCTGCCAGATGTGAGGCAGCAGCTAGCTTCCTGCCTGGTGCACTCTGGGGCTTCAGAAGGTGAGAACATTGGGTTTACTTGGCTCTCTTTGGAGGTGCACTGCCACTAGGATCAAATTGAGAGCCTTCACTTAGTGTAAGCTGGGTCAGGAACTTAAACCCATTTTTAGGAGCCCTTGCCTATGTGTAACCAATTTCTCTTGTGGCAGCAGGGAAGGTGGTTCTTAAACCACTAATTCACTGCTGCACATCTGCATGGTGCAGCTGGCACCGGCCTCTGCTGCAAGCAAGAGCTCCCAAGCTGTTTCTCAGGGCAGCAGTTAGCTGGTGGAAGGGCAGAGGGGCTCTTGGCTGTACTTAAGGTCCCAGGCTGCTGGAGCTGGACAAGCTCCACACTGGACTGTCCTCTCTTGCAGAGCAAAGGCCCTGCAGCTGCAGAGGGACAAGTCTCACCCAGTTAGCTTGTTTTCACCATCACACTAGACAGCCATTACTGTAAAACACTTCACCAAGTAATAGGCACCACTTTGCTTTTCCCAATTTCTAGTAACTCCAGCTCTAATCCCAGGTGTTCAGCTGCTTAATGTGAGAGAACAATTCCTGTCAACCAGACATGGTGAAATCAGTTGATTACCTAGGGGTGCTCACCTCCACATACTCCAGAGAAGGGCTGTCCAAGAGCAATGCTCTGTAAGGCATCTGTGTTGGGGAGGTGTGGCAGGAACATGGAGGTGCCGCTTGGAAAGGGGAATGTTAAGGAAGAAGGGGATGGTAGTACCAGTTTTAGCCATGTTCTGCTTGCTCAGGGCACTGTGGAACTGCTCGCTCTCAAGGACCTTTCACAGTGCCAGCTTTTGCTGTCAGGCTCATCCTCACCTACTTCCAAGCCAGAGCTCCAATGAGGAGCGTTGGCAGCTGAGGTAACGTTCCACCAGTGCAGCTTAAGCTGTGTAGTGCTAGGCAGCAGAGGGGACACAAGTGTCCCAGTAAAACCCCATGCTAGTGAGTGAAAACCTGATCAAAATCCCACCACGTAATGCATGCACACATCCTCTGTGAGATGAATAGTGCGTCGTTCCTGATACAGAGGTATTGCCTAGTGCCAGTCACAGGCATGCAGTGACCCCTTGAGATGACAGCTGACAGTCACCTGGTCACAAGAGAAAACATTTCCAACAGCAGCTTAAAACAGTGCAACACTTCATGTCTGTATTGTGAAACTGTATTTAATGAACACTTGAAACTGGCTGTCAGATACTTGCGCTCCATCACATAACACCAACAAAGTAAAGCACTAACCACGAATTCATCTATACAGGGGTTTAAAGAACAACCCACCCCCCTAAGCCTCCCAGACTCACACATGTGCCTGCACACAGCCACACCTGGGCTTGCTGCGTTACTTGGGGCTGCTCTGCTCATCTGGGGGTGCACCTGCAGGACCGAGGTGCTCAGCATCACACGCAGCTTGTGCGTTTCAGGCACAACCGCGTCACTTGGTGCTCTTGATACTCTCATGTCCCACCATCCTCAGAATTTCAGATGCCAAGGAAGCCACAGCAACATCAGCGTGAGAGCTGGGAATTAAAACCAGTAACATCTATTAGACAAACTGGGGAGGGGGGGGGAACCTGATTGTTCAAATCCCACATTTGCCTTTGCCCTGTGGCAAATGTGGTGTAAAGATGAACTTCAGCTCAAACACACAGTGACTGCTACCTCACCCCATCTGCTCTGTACACAGACAACATCGTTTATCGTGACCCCATGAATGTGCACACAGATGCTTCCAGCTGGACAGAAAGAAAGATGTGTTTTCACACACACAACCAGTGACTGCCCCCCCATCCCCTCCAGCTCTGCAGGTCTGAGATTGACCGGTGGGGCCCTTTGCTTCCTCACCAAAGTTTTCAGTATTATACGTATTTCACCTCATTTTCCCGTCTGGAAACACATGTTTTTTCTGGCACTGGAACAGAGGCTCTCACACATCACTGCTAGTCCACAGGAACAAGTCTTTTTGGTTTCTAGGCTACCATCCCTCACCTTTAGCTTAGAAAGGCCGCTGTAAGATCAACCAACTTCCTCGGTTGCTGCTAATGACAAGTACCTACGGGTACTCCATGCTTTGGGGAATGCTGAACTAGCCAGGAAATCCAAATGCTCACTCCATGCTGTGTAAGCTGCTCTTAATGAGCAGCACTTTAAAGCAGGAAACGTGGTTATCTGAAACAAATTCACCCTGGCAACTGCCTTCACGGAGCAATAAACGGCTACGATCCCACGTTTCACAGCGTGGGTTCGATCCCACTAAAGCAGAACAGGTTGGTTGTGTGTCACTTGTAGAACTGCCTGTTCTGATGGATGAGGGTGTTACCACGACAGAGACCGGCAGCAGGGGAGCACCCACAGCAGCTCCCACAGCTCCCTGACTGCTTGGCTGGCGTCCTCCTCCTGCCATGCAGGCAGAGCGGGAGGTCAGAAACCTGCCTGATGGAATGAGCAGGAAGGCTCCTCACCCACTTCACCCCAGTGACAGTTCGTGGGAGGGACAGGATGGTGATAGGGTGTCTGAGCCTTGGGAGCACGGCTTAGATCCAGGATCTCTAAAACACTTCCAATTCTGCATGAGATAGAGAGAGGCTTCTTCACCGAGTTCAAAGCACAAGTGAGGAGACCAAGTTTATGAGGCCACAAGGAATACTCCAGGGAAGATGGCAGAATATCCATAGCCTCCATATACAACAGCTAAATCTGCTAGTTTGCTAATCCCAGCCTTCTTCTGTCTGCCTGTTGCCAATTTGACCACATCTGAGTCTATTACAGCCCCAAGATGCAGGCTGAACCCCTCTCAGTTTCCTCTGGAGGCAAATGGACAGGGACATGTGTTCCTTAAAGAAGGGGAGGGGGGAAAACAGGGGTCTCCCCTGTTGCTGTTGCAGCATAGGAGCTGGGCACAGCCAAGGAACTTGGCTTACCCTCATGTACCATAGGGTCATAGAATCCCAGACTGGTTTAGGTTGGAAAGGACCTTAAAGCTCGTCCAGTTCCAACCTCCTGCCATGGGCAGGGACACCTCACACCAGACCAGGTTGCTCCAAGCCCCTGTGTCCAACCTGGCCTTGAACACTGCCAGGGATGGGGCAGCCACAGCTTCTCTGGGCACCCTGTGCCAGCGCCTCAGCACCCTCACAGGGAAGAGCTTCTGCCTTAGATCTAACCTGAACTTCCCCTGTTTCAGTTTGAACCCATCACCCCTTGTCCTATCGCTACACTCCCTGATAAAGAGTATCAACTGTCATTAGCATCAGCTAGAATTCAGTCTACTGGGCGTCCTATGTCAAATAAGAGTGAGTGCTGTTCATTCAGGGTTCTGCAGTATGTGGTTTCCTGTTCTGTATAGACAACAGACAATGAGAAGAAGCCAGGAAAGCAGAGCCAGAGAAATGCTAAATCCAGTGAAACCCTAAAGGAGCACACCCTGTGCTTCCTCACTGTCACCTTCACTGCCGCTGCCTGCGCCTCCCTTGGGGAGAGCTGACGTTTTATTTCAATCAGATAATTTCATGTGTCCCACAAACCCCACGAGTCAGCAGCTGAGCACGTGAGAGGGATGCAGACTGTTCCCAACAGGTTCGGTCAGTCCTCGGTGTGCATCTGCTTACACTCCCTGCATCCCAACATCTCCTTCCCACATCTGCCCGCATCCCTGCTCCCTTCCCATACCCCATGACATAATGTGGAGGAGCCAACTTTCCCACACACCTGACCCATATAAGGCCTGCCTTTGGGAGCACAAAGAGCACTGAAAAGATGATCTTAGCATTTCCAAACCTGATCCATAAACTACAATTTCACGGGGAATTTTAAGCTCAACCAGGAGTGAAACAAAATCATGGAATCAATCAGGTTGGAAAGGACCTTTAAGCTCATCAAGTCCAACCCTTGCCCCAGCACTGCCAAGGCCACCACTAACTAACCCACGGCACTGAGGGCTTGCAGCCTAACAGCCCACAGGAGGAGTCCAATACTTGTTTTAAGGGGCAGAGAACAGTAAAATCCATTCATCCACATGGCCAAGGGGGACTGGATGAGGGAAAGCCTATGGGAGATGAGCTGAGGTTCAGCCAGCTTGCTGGGATGAGCACCTCTGTTCTTGCACTCCCCTCAGGCACAGGTATTGAACACAAGCAGTTCTGTTCTTGTGCTGCACATTTGGAAGCAATCAGCACCAAACACAATCCCTTTAAAACAGGGCACAAACATCACATTGTGCTTGTAGCCCACTCCACCACTGCCCAGTGTCCAGTCACAGTGCTCGGAATAAGATTATATACTGGAGAAATAAGGGACAGGAACCTGAGCAGCTCAGGCGGTGATTACAGGAGACCACTGCAGACAAAGCAGGAGGCGAGCACTCTGAGCCCTGGAAATCCCTAGAAGCCTGAGGGGACTCACCTGGCAGTGCGGGCCAGGCTCTCCAGGGTCTGGAGAAGAGCATCACCATCATTCTTCAGGCTCTCCGAGCGCTTCGCGTTTGAAGTTATCTGGAACGAAAAGAAAGCAGCGTTATCAAAGGCTCAGCAGGAAATTCCTCTCCGTCATTGTGGGGTAGGGGAGAGGGGAGCAAGTTGTAGCATTTATTACAGTTGCAAATGGAATGTGACATTAAAGAGACCCAAGAGAAAGTCCCTTTTACGGAGCAGGACTGACTTGTAGGCACAGACCATCAAAAATACCCTGGCTTCATTAATAAGATCCACTCTTGCTCGGAGTCCCTGTACGTGTGTGGGTTCACACATCGCAGTATGCCAGTCCTCATTTCATATCTCGCACCAACACAAATACAAGCCCCATTTAGCCTGAATTCCAGGGAGATCCTGGGGGGACACACACCATTCATTTTCATGGCTCATTTCAGGGAAAACCTCACCAAGCTCATACAGGACTGTCACCTACAGAGCAGGGCACCCAATGACCAAAGCTACATCCCCTTTGGTGTCAAGTGAAGCCTGACTATAGCTGATGTTGCTGCCGGTGTGTTCCATCACAATAATCTGCAAGGACTGCTTGTTTCTCCAGCCTTAAGCAGTGTAAGTACACAGCTCCAAGCGTGTTCCCTGAGCAGTTACTAAGCAGGTGAATGGGAAGGTTATGGGGGACACGATGTGAAGATGCAGGGCACTGTGGCACAAATGGACACTGAATACTTGGCAGTTTGCTGAAGATGCTCTTGTACCTCCAAAACTCATTGGGGAGAGGGTTTGCGTGTCAGGTCCTGCTTGCAAAGGTAAAGAAATCTTGGCTGCAGAGAAAGGAAAAGAGGAGGACCAGAGCAGCTGACTGCTCTGATACTGGAGGAGTTAATGCTTGAAACGACACCTTCTAATCCCCAAATCTGGCAAGGACTTTCAAGCTTCAGCATGCTGTGGCTGGCCCTATTTACCACTGATCAAGCATCTGGGTGATACGCCTTCACATCTTCCTCTTAAATCACAAGAGAAGCTGCATTTACAGCTGCCATCCCCTATGATTTATCAGCAGCGATTCTGCAGTGGTGTCACTACATCTATAACCATAACATCCTGTAGTTAAGCAGTAACAGGGAACTGGGACCTGTCTGAAGTAAACTACAATGCATCCTGTGTGTTGGAAAAACACAGCGATGCCATCACCTAAGTACAAACCACTGCTAAATCCTGATTGACCATCACTCAGCATGAAACCAGTTTACTCTTTCAAGGTTCACATCTGAACCTTTCACTTTATATTTCAGGAACCCGCTCTCTGTATCTGTGAAGGCACAGAAGATGTGTTGTAATCTGGGTTCTGAATGGGAGAACACCACCACAGGTAACAGCAGCAACACAGGGGGGAAAGCACTTTCACCACAGGACGTTGCACTCTATTCCTAAAGAGTGCTCCTGCCTCTACCAGACACTTCCCCATCACTTCTGCAGCTCACCAGTGGCTGCCACGCTCTTTGCACTCACCACGTTCATGTCTCTTGTTTATCCTCCACATTTCAGAGCCAGAGGTGACAGGGGAGGAAGGTCACTAGGGCTGGATCATGCTCTGTGAAAGTGTAAGGTCAGATACAGGTTGCAGCTATCTTTAATTCTAGTGCATCCTAACTCGTGGGTGCTGACACCTGCACCACCCTCACAGTCCTTTAACAACTCAGTCCCTGTGTATCACACAGTGATGGAACATTCAAAAGAGGCTCAACTATAAAACTTGGTAGCAAGAAAAAGCTTTTAATTCTACAGTGCTCTATTTCAAACAGCAGCTCAGTCCAACTGAGTCACAGGGTCTGCCTGCAGCTGAGTTGTAGCATGCCTCCTGCCATTATTACGGATGTATTTCTGTGAGTACAAAGCGTTTGAGTGGAAAGGATTAAATGGCTTTATATGCACAGAAACGGTAACGGACTGAAGCAGAAGGAGCCATGAGATCATCTACCCCATCTCCCTGTTGTATTTCACTGTTGAGAGCAGCTTTCAGTCACAAGCAATGGGCTTCTGTGATACCTGTCCAACAGGGGCGACTCCATTAGCTAATAAAATGCTCCAATAAGACCCTTTCAGAAGTAAAACTGGTACCACAAGGAGGGGGTAACACCATGAGCAGACCGTTTAAGTCAACTTCAGGATGCATTTTCTTGACAGCCACAACTAACAGCTTCCCATGAGCTGAGGGGTGTTGGTGGAGAAGTACTGCCTAAATCACTGTTCACTTACTTTGTTATCTCCTTCTACCCTTCCATCCACACCAGTTCTAGTTCTCGCTCACTTGGAATTTCAACAACCAGTTTAACAATCACCTATAACACTGCTGTATGTTAGGGCTGGCTACAACACCTATTCAATGACATAATCAATGGCTATTCCTTTAATTAAACATGCCATTACATCTCAGTTTAGTTGTACACTCACTGCAATTAAACAAGAATTTCAACATTACTTTTCTGTATGAAGCCAATAGCCATTCAGCAGCTTTCCTCTCTTCAGTTCTAGTAAACAAGGATGAGCCATAAGGAGCACCGTAATCCATATGTAAAGATCAGTATTCCCTGAAGTTTGGGGTATTTCAGGTTGCTGAAGGCGAGTGCAAGAAAACACACAATGTAAAATGGTCTCTGGAAGATCACCTTCACTAACAAACTAAGGAGGTTTGGATCCTCGGTCAAAGAGGTGATTCTTGCAATTCAAGGTTCAAGAAAGCACTGAAACTTGAGGGCAAATTACTTCTCTTATGGCTGGTTTCATACCACTGAACTGCTTTCCCTGGTTAGTCATAACTCATGACTGGGTTAAATGACCTGAGCAGTCAACTCCTCTCTCACCATTCTGAAGAGAACGAGACTCTCCTGCTTTGCTGGGGTTTCCAGTAAACTGTAAGCTTGAGGTCTGTGAAATAAACTGGGAAGTGAGGCAAAAGAGCCACTGAGTCAAAATAAGCAGCTTTGTACTTGAAGCTTTTGAGGCCCTGAAGCACGTTTACCTTCATCTTCAAGAGCTGTCTTCTCAAATAAAGGACTGCTGCAGATGTTTGCCATATCCATGCTCAACAGATGCTCTTCTCAAGCCATGCTGGCATTGGAACAGGCTGCCCAGGGCAGGGCTGCAGTCACCGTCCCTGCAAGTGTTCACACAGCGTGGAGACGAGGCCTCAGTGCCATGGGTTAGTGGTGGCCTTGGAGTGCTGGGCATGGTTGGACTGGGTGAGCTTGAAGGGCTTTTCCAGCCTGGTTGCTTCTATGAATCTATGCTCACCGTGCCTGTGCACACAGTCAAGGCCTTTCCTAAATGCTCTTTCTCCCATAATGGCTTTTTCTCTTCCCCAAACACACACATTTTTACCTCATAAAGTGATACTTCTTTACTTTTTCCTCAATATGGAATACAATTAAGCTAATTACCTTTGTAAGATTAGTTAGTTCACGTTCTCACCCAACTTTACCAACTGGCTGAGAGCACCCATATGGGTGACACGGGACCTGCCGTGGGCTGCTTTATCAGAGCCACCAGATACTTGCAGGCCCAACCTTAGCATCACTTAAGTATTGAAAGATGCCGTGAATAAAGTACCACTCATCCCCAGTTAGAGGCTTCTCTGTGAATGGGAATTGTACCTTCAGCTAAAAACCGCAGTAAAACCAATCAGAGAGACACTTTTTCCTGTGTAGGACGCGAGTGTTCAGGATGATAAAACCCCACTGAATTAAAACAATTGCCCTCTAGACACTATTTCAAATAATGTCTTCATTGTAAGTGCTGTCCCCACAGTTTTAAATGTGCATCTCAGGCTTCTCATTCCTGCTTCTTCTATCTTTGCCTGGCCAAAGGCACTGCAAGTATAGGACACAGCACCTTTCATCCCCACCCAAAGCTGCTCTTTCAAATGCTATCTGGGGTGGTGGCTATTCACAGCTGCTCAGTGTGACCTTACTCCCAGCTTTTAAGGAACAAATGCCACAGAAGATGGTGGTGTCAAAACCACCAGCTATAGCTGATGTGACAGCCCAGCAAAGAAGTCAATGGGATGGTAACTTCGGAAGCGAAGCACAACAGGCTGGAGGAGAAAACCTTCCCGTGTTGTGGCCCATCTTATGCTTATCCAAGGGCATTTAATGGTACTTTTCCTCTCAGGCTGTCGGTGCTGAGCTGTTCACAATCACTGCAGCAATCAAATCAAACACATCCCTTGGTTTGTCATTCATAGCTCATGACAACATGGCCAGAAATATGCCGGAGGAGCGATAACCAACATAAACATACAGCAAATAGGCACCCATGCAGGTGAGCACTTGTGTGAATAAAAAACCTAACAGATCCATTGATCGTGTTTGAACTTACTAAATACAAAGATTTCCTTCATTAGAAATCCCTCTCCGAGCACATACATTAAGCTGGTAGTGCCTAGAGGAGGTATAACAAATGGATGCACCAGTTCCCATGATGGATCAAATGGATCCATCACTTCTGTAGGCTTGAACACTTACTTACTCTTATAGAGTCACATAGCTTTATCTCTGTGTAATGAACGACCAGGCCCAATAAAGCATTTGGAGCCTCTAACGTAGCTGCAGAGTAGAGTATTGCAGCTGTAATGATTATGTTTAAGGTGTCAACCCCCAAAGAGGGATCCTAAGAAGAGACCGAGATCCCTGCACAGTGCATGTGGAGTGTGCAGCCACCAAAGGGCATGGAAACCTGCACGCTGAGCATGAAGTTCTCCAAATTCCCTTTCCCCTCTGGAGCTCAGCCTGCTAAGACATCAAATGAAAACTGGTGCAGAGACCACAACTCCAACCTCTTCTCGGTCCCCCTGTGCTCTCCTGTAGTCCTCTGCCCTTTTCTAGGTGAGTGAAGGTCACAGTTAGCTGCTGCGGCACAGTTTCCACTGGAAGGGGAAAGGCTGGGAGGTCTGCATGGTTCCCATGTAGGGAATGAATCACATCATGGCACAGGGACTCAGCAGGGTCTGGAAATTCAGCCAATTGTATACCCACGGCAGGAATTTTCTGGCAAATACAAGCAAACCA